AACAAGATCACATGCCCACATACATATCACATACACACATATACTCAGTCATACACAATTCTATTTCTGCCCACTTTTCCAAAGTGGGTATCCAGATTCTGGGTATCTGCAAATTCAATAATTATAAATTTATCTTATTTCATTCTGCATAGTAATTCACTATTTGGATAAGCCATAAAATATTTTGACAATCTAACTGATGAAAGTTAGATTGCTATCACCAACAATGCAACAACAGACATACTTTTATGTACATCTATCACACAGGTTTATATACCATATGAGATAAAGCAATTAAGATTTAGACATAAGGGTTCTTCATTTATGCAGTTTTCAGTTTTACTGCTTTAGTAAAATTGATAATAGTCACTGTAAATCATTTTTTTGAAAAATTAAAGCAAAAATTATCCCAATCCTCCCTGTCAGAGTAAATGCATTGTTAGCATATTAATGAAAATACACACATACATTATCTCAATGCCTATAATCACATCTTTAGGTATACAGACTTCTAACTGGGTATTATCACAAAAGCTCAAGCCTACTTTTCTCATGAAAAATTAGAGTACTTTCCCTGTCATTATAATCTCTATCATTTTAGTGGCCATAAAAGAACACATCAAGATTTAAACATTTTACTGATATTTCCTTCTTTTTTAAAAATTCAGTATAAATATCCTAGTATAAAATTGTTCTCTTTTGTTATAATCTCCTAAGCAAAAGTTCCAGTGCTAGGACTGCCAGGCCCCACGGGTATTTTGACATTTTTCACTAGCCAGTCTTCAAAAAACCTTATGTTGTTCACTCATACCAGGAGAAATTGTTGAGCACAGAATGCTGTGTATATGGCAATCCATCTAAATCATTACATTTGATATATCAATAAAAACTCAACAAATCTCTTACCCCACCCCCATTTTAGGGAGAAGAATGACAAAACGTACTTGAAATCTGCCAAAGCTCTTTTTAAAGAAGTCTTGATGAAAGGACTACAGAGCAAAGCAACTGACCTAAGTCTGCATGAGAACAATAAGAACCCAATTATTAGCAATCCAAGTTTACTAAGAAAACTTTTTGTCATCAGTAACTTCTTTTAATACTTTGAGTTATAGTAAAACTCTCCCTTAATATATAAGGGTCCAAAAATTCCATCTGCATAAATTGTCAGTTGTGTCATGTTACTCATAAAACATTATTTTAAAATCCATCAAGTATAAACTAATGATACTAAAAATTATATTGTACACAATTGATAACACTGTACAGAGAACTGAGGCTGAATGAAGGATGGAAGCCATTCAGGTCTTTTCTCCAAACTTGATTCATTGTGGATGGCAGTACTACGTAATTTTATGTACTTTATTTCCTGAAAGTAATGTTATTAAGGCTACGTGCAGAATTCCTTTTGATTTATAAATTAATATAAATTTAGGATAAAGAACTGATGAGAATTTCCAAATATTTATCCTAGTTATATGGATTTTATCCATTTTCTTCAATAATTGCTAGGCCCTATTACAAGCCAAGCATAGGTCTACATGGTAGATATACAGAGGTGAAAAACATCTTCCTACATGGAGATTACATTTCACTTGACATTAATTTCATCTGTCAATCACATACTTTTGTTAAAGTATATACTTCCATTAAAGTCCTATTGGGTAGATTCCAGTAAGATTCTTCTGTGTTGCATCTTAGTAATTGGGGTGCTTTGGAACTCTGGTATAAATGCTGACCGTATTGATAGAACACAGTTTTCTCTCATCTGTGAAATCTGATATTTGTAAAGAATTCATCCCCCAAATGAGTCCTTAAAATATAGCATTTTAGAGAGCCTTCCTGTGAAGATTCTTTGAAGCTTCTGAATGCTGAAGGAGCTTTTCATAAGCAACTTCCAAATGGAGATGAAAGCTATACATTTCATATTTCTATAGATGCCCTCCAATGTGGACTCTCTGATGGTAGACAAGATGTGATCTCTGACTGAAGCCCTTACAGCAGACATCACATATGTAAGGCCTCTCTCCAGTGTGGACTCTCTGGTGTGTGTGAAAATGTGAGGCCTGACTAAAGCCCTTCCCACACTGCTGACATGTATAGGGTTTCTCTCCTGTGTGGACCCTCTGATGAGCACTAAGACCAGCACTCCAACTAAATTCTTTCCCACACTCCTCACATTTAAATGGTTTCTCTCCAGTGTGAATAATCTGATGGACTTGAAGGTTTGACCTCTGGCTGAAGGCCTTACCACACGTATCACACTTATATGGTTTCTCTCCAGTGTGGACTCTCTGATGGGCTTGAAGATGTGAGGCCTGACTGAATCGCTTCTGACATGCATCACATTTGAAAGGTTTTTCCCCAGTGTGAACACTCTGATGAGCTTGAAGATTTGAGGCCTGACTGAAACCCTTACCACATTCCTCACATTTATAGGGTTTCTCTCCTGTGTGTACTCTTTGATGATTGTGAAGATTCAAGCTCCAATTAAAGCGCTTCCCACACACTTCACATTTGTATGGTTTCTCTCCAGTGTGCACTCTCTGATGGGCTTGAAAATACGAACTCTGACTGAAGCCTTTACCACACACATTACATCGAAATGGTTTCTCTCCTGTATGGACCCGTTGATGGCTCTGGAAACTTGAGGCTGAACTAAAACCCTTACCACACTCTTCACATTTATATGGTTTTTCTCCTGTGTGGACTCGCTGATGACTATGAAGATTAAAGCTCAAACTAAAACACTTACCACATTCATCACATTTGTATGGTTTTTCTTCAGTGTGGACTCTCTGATGGGTATGAAGATTTGAACTACAACTAAAGCGTTTACCACAATCCCCACACTTATATGGTTTCTCTCCAGTGTGGATTCTTTCATGGGCCTGAAGATGTGATCTCTGAGTAAAGCCTTTCCCACACACTTCACATTTATAAGGTTTCTCTCCAGTGTGAACTCTGCAATGGATGTTAAGATCTGTGCTCCGACTAAAGCCCTTCCCACAACTGTCACATCTATATGGTTTCTCTCCTGTGTGAATAGGCAAATGAGCATAAAGATGTGAACTCTGATTAAAGCTCTTTCCACATTCATGGCACGTATAGGGTTTTTCCCCTGTGTGGACTCTCTGATGAGTTTGCAAATTTGAGCTCTGACTAAAACCCTTCCCACATTCATGACACCAATAGCGTTTCTTTCCTATGTAAACACTCTGTTGAACAGGAATACCTGAGCTGTAACTGGTATCATTCTCACGTGGACTACATGTAGGGGACTTCTTTCCCAAGTGTATCTGCTCATGAAGTTCAAGATTGGAGCCATCAGTGAAGGTTTTTTCACATTCATTACCTTGGTAGGTTTTCTTTCTTGTGTGAATACTACACTGGGTAAGAGGTGACACATTTAGGAAATCTTTGCTATAATCACTGCTGCTAAGAGCTTTATCTCCTTTGTGCACCATATCATCATGGTGGTGTGAAATGCAACTGAAAATGTCAACACATGGAGCAAAAAGACATAATTTGTTTTTCATCTGAGTCTGTTTACAGATTCTTTGATAATTCTGTGTCTCATTCAGACATATTTTACTCCAAGAATTCTGAACTTTCTCAGTTGGAAATTCTTGATTTTCAGTGATATTAGAATGATCTCCAGTAAGATTCACTAGACAGATGTCATCCACAGAAGTCTGAATAGCTTCTCCTGCTCCCATTTGACAGGAGGAATCATATTGCCTGAACTGAGAACTCTTTCCTTGAATATTTATCATGGAGTCTTGACTTCTGATTAATTTGCTCACAACATGTCTCTTGATTTGCCAGCAAGAAAGCTCTCCCAGTGAAAGGCACTTTAATCCTGCTTCATGAAAAGTCTCCACCTCATTTTGATTCCTGCTTCCTAAGAGAGAAAATAAAGAATTAAGGACAGAGAGACTGACATCAGCAAGGTAGCAAAGTAGGACGCTCTAAGCCCTCATTTCCCCCATGGAAACATAAAAAAACTACAGACTGGCTAAAATAAATTTATAAGGACTCTGAAAAAAGTGCCAGGTGGGGTGGCTCACGCCTGTAATCCTAGCACTCTGGGAGGCCAAGGAAGGTGGAATGCCTGAATTCACAGGTTCAAGATCAGCCTGAGCAAGAGCAAGACCCCATCTCTAAAAATAGCCAGGCATTGTGACAGGCACCTATAGTCTCAGCTACTTGGGAGGCTGAGGCAAGAGAATTGCTTGAGCCTAAGAGTTTGAGGTTACTGTGAGCTGTGATGCCAAGGCACTCTGAGGGCAACAAAATGAGACTCTCGCTCTCAAAAAAGAAAGGCAGTATCTAAAATGGATGAAAATTTAAAATTTTTTCATGATAAAATAAATGAGCAAACAAAAAAACAAAAAACAGTAGAAAATTTGATATTAGCCTAAATGGTGAGGGTTTAAGTTCTTCTCAGGTCTTTATCTAAGTGTGTGTCTTGCTGGGCCTATATGTGTGCTTTTTTCCATTCTCTAGTATACACAGCTACTATTCTTTTTTTATACAGCTACTTTCCAATGTTTTGGTATTTTTTTTCTTCTGGCATGACATGAATCAAGTAAGCAGTGGCCTAGCTTTCAATTCCCTCCATCAGAATAGAGCAGACTAGACTCTATTTGCAACATGCTAACCTGTCTGGGGGTTGCATGACGAACTAGTCTGTCTTGCTTGACTCAGAGCCAAGATGAGAAAAAGCAATGGAATGCATCAGTGGGCACTGCTCATGAAATCTGCAAGGACACTACAGACCTCCAAAGGCCTAGAGAAAGTGATTATGTGTGTAGGAATACAATAGAACACATAAAATCCAAAAAAACCAGGGTAAGACTCTGGAAAATTAAGACCTTTAAAAGCACTTGTATGTACAGGAGAATAGACACATATACACATGATACACATGTTCAGGCAAGATACATTCTCAGAAAAGACCTTAAACCTTCACCCCAACAGATCCCATGGCTCAAAATATGCTCTCCTAATTAGTTAAAGTCTTCTCTAGAAAGGATAATTAGTCTACAAAGATTGGAGAGGTCCTTTCAAATGCTTGATTTTCAACAAAAGACACAAGGCATACAAAGGAATAGAGAAAGAGAATCTATTCAGAGGAACCAAATAAATCTTTAGAAATCAAACCTAAAGAGGCACAAGCCTCTGATTGACTTAACAAAGATTTTCATATAACTATCTTAGTTATGCTCAAGGAGCTACAGGAAAATACTGTCAGATCTTTAAATTAAATCAGGAAAATGATGCATGAAGAAAATGGAGACTATCAACAAAGACAGAAACTATTAAAGAAGAACAAAAGAGAAATGCTGAGGCTGAAAAATATAGTAACAGAATTGAAAACTACTGCAGGTGAAAACTACAGAAGAATCAGCAAACTTGAAGACAGTCATTTGAAAGTATCAAAAAGAATGAAGAAAAGTGAACAGAGCTTAGACTCATGGCTAATCATTAAACAAACGAATGTGCAAATAATAGGAGTCTCAGAAGGAGAAGAGAGAAACAGGGAGAGCTAAATGAAAACATAGTGGATGAAACTCAAAAAAATTTGAGGAAAGAAATGGTTACACAAATACGAGAAGCTCACTGAATTCCACTTAGAATAATTCCAAAGAGACCCACACTAAAATACATTAAAATCAAACTGTTCAAAGGCAAAGAATGACTCATGAAAGCAAGACAAAGGCAACTCATCACATACAACAGATCCTTAATATTATCAGTGGCTCTTCTCTAGCAGAAACCTTGCAGGCCAGATGGCAATGGGATGATATACTTAAAATGCTGAAAACAAACAAACAAAAAAATGCCCCCAAACCTGTCAACTGAGAATACTATATCAAGCAAAACTGCAAGTGAAATATATAAATGTAAGTGAAACTGAGACATTCCCAAATAAACAAAACCTAAGATAGAGTTCATTACTGCTACACCTATCCTACAAGAAATGCTAAAGGGAGTTTTTCAAATTGAAATGAAAGGACATTCACTACATAGTTAACTTGAAGCCATATGAAAATATAAAGGTTTCCACTAAAGGTGAATCTATGAACAAATATAAAAATTTGTATTATCATAATTTTTATTCCTAACTTCACTTTTAATACTGTTATCCAATTTTAAAGACAAAAACATACATGGGGCCGATGCTCTACTCCTTTGAGTCACAGGCGCTGCCCTAAAGACATAATTTTTAACATCCTGGGATGATAAAATACACTCAACAAACCAGGAGTTGATGAAAAATACCTCAATATAATAAAGACCATATATGAATGCCCAAAGCAAACATCATAACCAATGGTAAAAGACAAAACTTTTTTCTAGTATCAAAACAAGGTAGGGATACCTGTTTTCACCACTATTTACTGTAAGACCTAGCCAGAAAAATTAGGCAAGAAAAAATCAAACTGGAAAGGAAGAAGTACAATCACCTATTTGCAAATGACATGATCTTATATGTAGGAAACTCGAAAGATTCCCCCCTCCAAAAAAATGTTAAGAACCAATAGGCAAATTTAGCAAAAGGTGCAGTATACAAAATCTATACACAAAACTCAGTTGCATTTCTACATGCTAACATTGAACAATCTGAAAAGGAAATTAAGGAAACAATTCCATTTATAATAGCATCAAAAAGAATAACACTTGGCGGCACCTGTGGCTCAGTGGGTAGGGCGCCCACCACATACACAGAAGGTGGCAGGCTCAAACCTGGCCTTGCCAGCTAAAACAACAATGACAACTGCAACAACAACAAAATAGCCAGGTGTTGTGGCAGGTGCCTATAGTGCCAGCTACTTGGGAGGC